TACCGGTACGCCTCAATCCGACGATTTTCAGGCATAATTTCTGCACAATGCATGAAACATTGGCAGGCGTGGGGAAAATAGGATGTGCGATGAATCGAGAATTGTAAAAAACGCCACGGCGTTCTATGACCCGTTGACCTAGTTGTTTCCCAGATTTTTTGACCCTCAACTTCGCACAACATCAACAAGTCAATGCCCACGAAGTACTGCAAAACGCAGTACTTTTGCAACTTTTTGCAAAACTCTGCAAGCCCAAAAGCACTGCGATCAATTAGCATCGCGACGCCAAGTAGTAGTAGTAGTAGTAGTAGTAGGAGGAGGAGGAGGAGAAGTAGTAATAGTAGTATGAGCAGTAGCAGCAGTAGCAGCAGTAGCAGCAGCAGTAGCAGCAGCAGCAGCAGTAGCAGTAGCAGTAGCAGTAGTACAGTAGCAGTAACAGCACTACCAACAATCACAACAATCGTGCAGGTCATCATAAAGAATCTGCTTATTGAAGCAAGTCCCCTTCTTGCCACCCAAAATGACTTCATTCCTTGTAAAGCCACCCCGAAACGAGCACCCACTAACTTCCCAGCTCCTATGCAATGTCGAGACTTCATTGGATTTTTTCGAGCGCCGGCCCAACATAAAGCCCTATGTTGAAGCAAAAACAAGACGATCCCCACAGGCGGCAGACGGCCTGTCAGCGGGATTCTCTGGTGAGAAGCCCGCTTGTAAGAATTCACCGGCTTCCACACACCTGCCCTAAACCCTATCCCTACTTGGAAGTTCATGGGTAGTCATATTCTAGCTGCAAGTCCATAATACATGCGACAACTGGAGTTATCACTGCTGAAACCTTTACTTGGAGTACTTACAGCCCTCTTTGTTGTAACTACCCTTGAACCTCCAAGCAACCGTACACTTTGTAGCCAGGTTCCGGGCCACCCCAATGAAGTGCTCTGAGATGCCCATCTCCCTGGTGATGCCCTGCAGACAACAAAAGCAAGAAGAGGGCCAGCAGTAGGAACAGGAGTAGGACAAGTAGGCTGGTGGTTGCAGACTTTTCCTTTGTGGGGCCCCTTCTCGGGTTCCATGCGAGCAGGCAGAGTAACAATGATAACAGAAAGCCTCCACGCTGTCGACGAGGCCCTCCGAGCAAACGGCGACCAGGAGGGTCACGAGCAACAACAGCCTGAGTGTCATAACGCTGCTCCAAAGAGCCAAAATGATCATAATCTTAAACTGGGCGCCCCTGTAATTTCCCGACAGCCCCGAGATGCCCTCCGAGTGCCTTAGAGGCCCCTTGCTTTTGAAATCCACTGGTAGGAAAATGGAAAAGGTGTGTGAATAAAAATTCACAACCATCAGGTTGCAAAGCAGTAACGGTCACAAGAATATCAAATCACGGTACCCATGTGGAAACTCTGTGTGAAATCTCGATTGTGATGGGCCGTCCACATGGGGGTTTTCCAAAATTAGAGGTCCCATTTTGGGGGTCGCCATAATAATAACTAAAGTATTCTGGCGTCTATATTGGGGTCCCTAAGCCCTGAACAATAAACCCTAAACCACCCTAAACCCTAAACCCTAAACCACCCTAAAACCTAAATCCCAAAACCTAAACCCTAAACACCTTTACTTTGGGGAAATTACCACATAGCAGCTACATCAGCCTTGGTCTCTAGTCGTGAAGGATCCCTATAAAGCACCCAAGTGGCCTTTGTCAAGTAAAGGTCTACTAGGGTTTAGGGTTTAGTTGTGGCTATGAAGGTCCCGTGGCAGAAACAGAGGCATCTTTGGTGTGGGTTGGCCCAGCGAAAAGAACAGTCGTTGAGGGTCGAAGTTCCTCACAATGCGGAAGAAATACCCAACATACCTGTCACTTCGTCCACAAGCCGTAGCTCATCGAATTAGGGCGCCTGCTGCTGCTGCTGGATGACTTGCCCCACTCTAAGTACCCTAAATCCTAAGAAGTCCCATAGGCTAGGGACCTCAGCCGGTGCAAGATTTCTATTTCTTGCATCAACCAACTGTGCGGAGAATTGGGAGTAGGAATCTGAGGCCACAGCAACGAGGCTACTCCTGGGTGCATGGGCTCCTGGCAAGCTCAAGACCAGCATCGTCTCTCAGGGAATCATACAGGCCATTGCATCCACAGATCCCTCCAAAGGACCTCCTCTGTATCTGATGGCCCGCAACATCTTTCTACACCGATTTTAGGTTTTGGTGGTTTTCAAACTGTTCTCTAGGATAAGAATTCCACCTCTTCACCAGGATGCAGATCTCCGGATGGGCTGCAGACGAACCTATGTTGTCCTGAAAACTTTGCATTTTTTATCTAAAGCCAGTTCTTCTCCGCCTTCTTCTTCTAACTTTGGCATGGATTGGAGGCTTTTTGCAGCTGGTGCACTTGAGGGAGTGTCAGAAGGGGGCTCAAAAAACCTTAAATCAAACCCTCAACCCCCCAACCTTTTCTAATGCGCACCCTAGATGACCAATCCGTGAAGCTTCAGCATGAGTTGCTGTTGTTCTTCTTCTTGTTCTTGTTGCTGAGCGTTAAACCCAGAAGCCTGTTGCTGTTTGTTGGCAAGTTACATTATCCGACCTCCTGGCTCCGCAGCTGCAAGAAAGCAAATTGGAATCTATCAGCTTTTTCTTGTCACCGGATACTTCAACGCAGACACTGCCGTGGCCAATATGAGCCATAGTCTAAACTCCCTAGTATCACCCCTAATAACCTCTATAATACTCTCCTACATAAGCCCCCGTACAACCCAGTTTAGATTATGGCTCATGTGATTTTAGAGATGCATGTCATACTGGGACATCAGGATGCCCATGATTGATTTGCACTGGTATATCAGCTAAAATATCCCCTATCATCTGTCTCCTCGGGAAAGACAAGCCGCCAAACTTCACACTTAAATTAAGCCCTCATCACTGCCCCCTATAGTAGTTTCCATGTTCTTTTCCATTATCCCTTTATAACCCCAATATTTTACCCTATATAACCATATATATCCCTTTAAAGGGACTTAAGGTTTCCATTTTCTTTTCCATTATCCCTATAACTTGAATTGAAAGCCGCTGCTTCACCGGTAGTTCCCTGCGGCGACCTCCTCGCCCTCTGCGCCGTCTTCTGGCTCCGTCTGTGCGCAGACACATTGTTTCCTACATCTTTACTTCTTCTTCTTGATCTTGACTATCCATTGCTCCGGTGGATGGAGGAAATCATGCGCCACCTGGGATCCCCACAGTACTGCAATTACCATTACTTGGGCTATAGAAGGTAGGTTTTCTGCATCCACAGTCGTACTAGATCTACTACCTTCCTACTGCTTTTAGGGTACTGGCTCCTGTAGTGCTGCCACCACGGCTGCTACTTCCTCATCTTCTTCGCGCAATCGTCTACTATCTCTATGCCACAGGAAACAGAACTGCTGCAATGATTACGATGCCGGCCATAGCTTTGACCACGACAACCGCCACAACAGCTACGTGGGGGTTTCTCAGAAATAGGGCACCTGTTTGAGGGTACCTGCGATAAGGAATCTAGCGTTTTAGGATCCATTTTGGGGCCCCCTTGCTTGGGGAAAATACCATGTCGCGAACTAGGAACAACAATCTCTTCTAAGCAGTAGGTATAGCGCGTCTCAGGTATGAACTTCGCCTGTTTTAACGACAAGGAACCATCACCACGCATAATTTTAGGGGCATATCCAACGTAAGCCCAGTACTCAAGCAACACCTTCCCTCCAGAAACCCAGAATTCAAAATTCGAAATGGAGATTTCCAAAATTTGGGATCCAGCTTTTAGGAATTGTTTGCAATGAGGCTTGCAATATATTCGTACTGAGGCCCCCATGTGATGGGAACTTCTCTAATAGAGGCATGGGCTCAAACACCACTTGGAGTGCCAGCCTGAAAGAGGGCTATTACAAAGCATCATTAGCAAATGAATCCCCATGATCATACTCAAAAACCACATTTGGGATTATTCATTTGGGATCAATTAGCAATGGTGGTGCCGGGATGTTCTCTAGAATAGCGGGAAGACTTTCAACCCTAGACCCACCAATTCCCACCTCGAAGTAATCCTTGTGGGTGCGGAGTTGGAAGACTAGGTAGAGGCCTGTGATCACTGCTTTCAGTGTACGGCTTCAGAGTTGAAATCTCCACCACCCCCTACCCTGGAATATACGGCCGTTTCCCAAAATGGGGGAACCCCAATATAGACCCCAAAATACTATGATCTTTATTCTGGGGACCTCCAAAATGGTACTCCTAATTTTGGGAAACCCCCATATCTCCGTCCCCTAAAATTTGGCTTCCTACAGGGACTGTGAAATGCCGTGGCTAGGGGTCTCCCCAATGTCTCAGAAACACAGCTGTTAGGTTGGTTATTCAGGGGAACAAGTATGCACGGCTCTTTTTAGCCCTCATTTCATTTCAATTGTAGGGCACAAAGGCCTGAAACAAAGGGTTTGCTGCCAATGACAAAGTAATGCGTGAGCTTGCCTGAAAACCGGTTTGCCAAACCGGAAAAGCTCATGTAATGTAGGGACCCGAGTTTTGGGGAAATCCTCAGTTATACGTACAGGCACTGTCAGTCTTCTCTTCCCTTTTGGATTTGACTTGAAGAAGAACGCTGGATGCGGCTTCTGGGGTTCACTTACAAGCAGTTTGGTCCGAGTTCCGCGTATCCACATCTAAGCTGCAAGCATCTCACTTCAGACCTTGCATTCCAAATCCTGAAACAAACATCCTTGAATCCGCGGGGATGAGGTAGGAGCGGTCGCATAGTTTCCAAGCCCACCCCATCTGCATGTGGAATTCTACAAATTAGGGAGCCCTGATGGGAGCCAGCCACAAAGATACTTCCAGGTATATACAGGAGGCCCCAAGTTTGGAGAACTGCATATCCATGTGAGATATAATCTAAACTCCTAGTATTCCCCTTAATAAGCTCCATAATACTCTCGTATAAAATCTCCCGTCATAGCTCATGTTAAGTCCAAGAGGCCGTACAGAACAGTCAGAATGATTGCTGCACCTGCCCGCCATGTGTGGTTTGGATCGGCATGCACTGTGACGTGTCCTAAGGTGGGCTTCCTTTTGGTGGTCTTCATTTTGTTCCAATTTAAATGCGTAGCGCAGCTATCTATCACCCAACCTGAAGATAGACTGAGTGACCGCATCTGGGGCTCCTTAGCTCAACTTTGTAAGCTGCCCAGACCAGGCGTCTTAACAATAGAGCTTCCTTGTAAGGGCTTCTCTCACAAAGATCCCGGTTTTCCACAGACCGCTTCCAGTTCCGCTTAAATTGCAAAACCAAGAGCGCAGAACTCCAGAAAGGTGAGGGGCATGGCATTGCTGTAAAAAAATGCCTCCACCGCACTCAGCAGATCATCAAAATGTAAACGGCTGAGCTGTGCCCGTATGGCTGCCAAAGCGCAAGCACGAAAAATACTTATGTAAAGTTTGGTGTGCATATCGCCTCTGCGATTCCCGTCCGACCTTTTGTGCGAAGACCCAAACCATGCACAACTCAATGATCGGTCATTATCGCAAAAGCGGTCGATTTTACTGACCGCATGATCCTGAACCCACGGCCGAAAACCACCCCACTCAAACCTACTTCAGCTGTCAAAGGTCCACACCCTGCTTGTCAGACCTGAAGATGTCCCACCCTGCATTCTACACCTCACACGACTTAGGCTTTAGAGTTCGGCGGGGAAGCAGCCTGCTAAAGCTCACTAGCGGATAATCCATTGAACGCTGCAAGCACGCAAACGTTTACAACTGTTCTAATATGTGGCTAGCTAGCGTTGGTGTGTGGGATCTAGGTTATTTCTCAAAATACGTGCCACTTGAGCGCCCCGTAGATACAAGATGATCATGAGAGGTCCGAGGTGTTTTTGAGCAGCTCCCAAATGCACATTTGGCTCCAAGACGATCTAGGGAAGGGAAGTCAGTGGTCACCATCCGACCTCTGGACATTGCAAGGGAGATGCCCTCCTCACCTTGGCAGACACCATGCCCATGCGTCTTCTTGGCGACCTACGGCTGACACTACCGGATCAAACTGAAAATCTTGGCAATGGAACTGATAGTTACCGTGCAGAATCACCAGCGCGTTCATATAACGGCGGCAGCAGCAGCAACTAGAACCTGTCCAGAGAGAAGAAGTCTAGAATACGCCGGACTTAGGCGAACCCCAACGCGAGCGCCCCAAGATAGCCCCTACAGCCCCTGTAAGCCTGATTCATTCCAGGCTGTCAACTCCTGTTAAAAGCCCAAAGTGGGCTGTCCCAATATGAGCTGCTCTGCTCTGGATTTCAGGGTGCACAAGTCAAAGCATAGATCATAACGCTACCCAAGCAACTAGCCAACAGGTTGCGCGGAGTTGCGCGGCAACCGAGGCAATTTCGAAGCGAGGCTACGATATGGGGCCCTCCCTGATTTCACCCCAGCAGCCTTCGTCTGGACATACGAAGCCAACAACTCGTAGCAGGGACCTTACTTGAAGAACCCCCCGCCGGGGTCGCAGCTGGAAACGAGACCCACCAGTGAAGGGATCACCATCGCCAGCACCTCGGTTGCTCCACATCATTGGAGGCAATGCTACCTCAAACCGACTCCCTTGAGCCAAGCATCTCGTTCGATGCCTGAGCCCTCCACGCGTACACATTGGGCGTTTCTCAAACTTCGGGTCCCGTCTATCTACACATCAATCTACCCTCAAATATGAAAGTGCACGATGTAGGCGCCACAAAACAACGACCCTAAACCTTAAAACCTCCAGCCGGAAACCTCTTGAATGACTAGATGGGGCCCTTGCCGACAGCAGCAGCAAGTTGGATTGAACGCGGGCGCCGTCGGCGTTGTACTTCTGCTTGTGAAACTTGATGCCGCCTCACTGCATCAAGAATGCAAACAAAAACTTACTCTAGTAGTGGATACTAACATCTAGAATTAAGTACTTCCAGCAATAGGACAATAGGATTCAAAAGATTTATAGCATTCAGAAGAAGACGCCCTACTGAGCATCCTGGCAAACATCAACAACTTAGGATTCCTGGAGATTCTCGGCTTTGGCGAAAGAGTAGGGTAGGGGCCCAAATCATTAGAACAGGCTTTTGGGGCATACTATCCTACAACTGTATACCGGTGCTAAGAGCTGAGAAATACCAAGCTTCAGATAGAGGGCAGCTGTCAGAACACCACATTCACCCTTTCAGGCTTCTACCCTTGGGGGCTGTATTGGAGGACATTTCAGGTAACTCTTTCCTTGGGTTGTACGGGGAAACCAGTTCAGGGGTATGTAACCTTTCGTTTGCAACTAGTCTGCGTCACTGAGCTAAGCCATAGATGCTTGTAGTGCTGCATTAGCTGTGGCCAAATTTCCATGTGCAATCCGTAACCAAATATGCTTGGCGCCACAGAAGCGCATGGAGGGAACTTCTGCAAATTCTGAGGATGCCTGTGCATTCTCCTGAAACTAAGCTTTGGTCGTACCACAGACTGCCATCTTCAAAGGCACAAGTGTCTAGGATTCTTGGTTGCCTCACTCCCTCTTGCCAAACATCTGAGCACTCTTGAGCTTGCGGGAAAACAGTTCATCTGGCGTGTTTGAATCAAAAACTAATGTGACAAGGGCAGCGCATCCTAACACACATCTAACCTGGTGGGAAAGTGTATGCAATCGCTGCTGTGAGGTCGGCAGGAGGCTGAGCCCCATTATCTATCACTCCAACGAACTTTTGCCTCCTGAGAGGTGTCCTTGTATATGGGCCCCGATTCGGGATACTCACACATGCGCTGCATGCCCCCGAACATCCATACAAGCCCAAGGAGAGGCCCATACTTATGACCCAGAGAACTGGTGGAGGATCATACAGGGGGGCTACTGGCCCCTAAACCCTAAACCCTAAACCCCATAGAATCATTGGAAACCCGCTCACTCTCATGCCGCAGCTTTCGGGTGGACTACCCTGTGCCGGGTGAACTGGGAACGGAGCAATGGATCTCTGTAGGAGCCGCTGTCTGAATTCCTAGTATCCCCCTTCATAACCCCTAGAATACTCCTCTATGCATATTCCCCGATATAACCCTCCTTTAAGGATGTTGGCTGATACAACCCCACACAATTTTCCCTATAGTAGTACCTAGAACCCGTTCCACCGTTCCCAGCTCAGCATCAGCTTTGAGCACCTGGCCGAAGAAAAAGCACATGCCCAGCACCTGGAAGTACAGTTTTGAACGCATTGCATATGTATACCTATGTAAGTGTATGTATGTGTATATATATAAAGGGTATGTATATGACGTATATGAAGAGGATATGTATATACATGTATATATATATACACATTAAGTAATATATATATATATATATAGATTATAGGTAGCATATATGCAGATGCTAACTACAAGGCTTCAGCTAAGGCTGCTCTGGAAAGCTCTGGGTTGTGTTTCAGGATCAGGCATGTCTACAATGCTCCAGTCTAAGACTTGGAAGTCGGGGCGACCCTCACCAAACGCAACACCCAGTCTTCATAGGACCCGTTTTGAGGCTTATTGTTAGCTTATGGAATTGTGCTTGTGTTGTGACTGGGAATTGGGTGGAGGCATGATTCGATCGTGTTTTGCTGAGCCGTGTCTTCATGGATGCAACAGGAGCCCGCCGATAACCCTCATAATGCGCTAATTTCAGAAAAACTCTTGCTAAATCTTCAATCATCCCCCTCCGCCATAGCAAGACCCTTCACCCCCTAGCAGCGCTTAGTGGTCTGGATAGCAAGAGCTGATATTCTCTGAAAGGGTTTACTGTTGCCACAAGCCTCATCCTGGAACCTGGGCCTCCGGCCAGGAGAAGGTTGCTGAGGATGCTTCCAAGCAAGCTGCCCTGGACGACGCTCACAAGGCCCTGCAGAAGGAGGGGCTTGGGGATGTTCCGGACTAGATATGGTGATTTCGCTAAATAGGGGGAACCCAATATAGACCCCCCAACACTATAATCCTTACTATAGGGGCTATAGGATCTCCCATATCGAAGGGCTTGTCTTAAGCGATTTGGCACAAAGGGGCCATGTTTAGGTCTCAGGTGCTGTGGGGAACGTCTAGCTTTGAGAGCCTTTTGCAGATTTTCGTCTTGCTTAAGCAAGTAACAAGTGCCTATCTTGGTGTTACACGGACAGGGCTTGGTCTGCACTCCTACCCTCAGATCTGGGCCTGAAGTAGGCTGGACATATCCCGTGCTGGTTCCCCATTGGAGTGGAGTTTTTCTACACAACAAATCGCAAGTCGTATTCAAGTTTGAGGCAGCTCAATAGGATTGCCCCGGAGAGAACCCTAGCACCCGACCTGGGGCTTATACACTCTGAACCACAGATTGAGGAGATCTTCAACAAGGCTTGAGGTCCGACCGTTTCTAACACATAACCCACTGTGTTACAGGTTCTTGAGGGAGTTGGAAAATGAATGTAGGTACCACTATGGGGAGATGTATTGGGAGTATTGAGGGATCATGGGAGGTATCGACTCCTGCACTCAAGCTTACACAGCAGCCATAGGATTATGAGAGACCCCAGAAGTAGAAGTGAGAAAGAAAACGAATGCCCACTCAGACGTCGAACAAAAGTTTCAGGGCTTCTCACGCAGCTTGTGTGCTTGAAGGGGGTGAAAACTGCAAATGTAGGGGCCTCAGTGCGTCCGCTCTAGCTGTGTTGTGGGTGCAGGGGTTGTGTGACTGAGGGTCCACTCTCTTCAGTTAAGATATGGCTGCACATCTGAATGCTATTGCCCGTCCCATCAACTGCCTTGCGGAGTGCGAACACTGAAAGCAGCATCTCTACTGCGTTGCCTGGCGCGCATGTTGTGTTGGCTGACCGCAGATTTTTGCAACTCACTGGTGGCAAAAACATGCAGGATTCCAAGAACTCCCTGAGCCCAATTACAAAGATTGGCCACTTCAGACCATAAGTTGATTGTCATATTGCTTACCTGGTAACACTACCATACCCTATATAACCCATTATAGTGGTTCCCATTTTGTGTTCCCTTATCCCCATGTGACCCCTGTATAACCCTTACATTCATGATGTATGGTGTGAGGGCAGGCTGGGATTTGTACCAGGCCTGGAAACGTCTGCCACAGCCGGGGAAGGGAAGGGTTTTTCAGGATTTGGATTGTTGCTACACGTCTAACACTCAGAATACTAGGCCACAAACCCGAACAACAAAAATCCAGCTCCAAATGCATGTCTATCCTCAACCTCAACCACGAGAGCGTTGAATTGTCCAAACCCGTGGTCTAGTAACACTATTGTTGCTACTGTTACCGGCTAAGAACTCCTGTTATTGACTTGATTCATCATCATGGCCACCGCCAATAGCGACAGTCACAACAACGCATACGCATGCACATGAAATCTGCACCCTAGGCCCCAAAATCCCAGGAAGCAGCGATTTCTCTGACTGCGGCAAGGTGGCCGAAGGAAGCATTGAGGAGCCCTCCCAGGGTCTCCTGTCATGGTCCACAGAGGTTTAGCGGCGGAGCTCTTGCTTCTGGGACCGGATATATGACGAGTTGAGCCTTGCGACTATGAGAGACCATGTGTCGATCCCTAGACATATCTGGAAATTTCATGTAGGACTCTACAGGACTTCAGCGGGAGGGTAAGGAAGAAACCAGAGTAATTATCAGCACTCCTCCCTTTTCATCCTGAGACGATATTTACAATTCGGTGAGCTCATTGATCATAGCAAAATGGGCAAGCAGGTGTGTCAGAGTTAACGACGCACTCAGTGAAGCCTAGGGGCCCCATTGATGACTGTTGTTACTTCATAGGCTCCAGGCTTCATGCACAAATACCTACCCCGATACCAGGCTTGAATCACATGGGCTTCTGCTGGAATCAAATTCGATCCTGGCTCTGATTACGTTCTTCATGTTCCGCAGTTGCTTGGTTTAATAACAATGTACTTCCAGAAATAGTGGCTTCCCCTTGCATGTTTGAAAATTCGTAAACCCTGTATACTTCTAATTCTGGAGACTTCCAGTGAAAGAGACCCCAAATTTTTTGGAAGGAACAAGATTTGGCTTTCCAGGAAAGGGTCTGATAATTGGGTGCAATCAGGATCGAGCTGTTGCATGCCGTCTTGCAACGTGCATGTGGTTCAAGAAGAGAACCCTGCACAGAGACTCTACTTACTGGTGGTTAGTACGGAATATGGTAGTACATGTACATATATATATATGTATATATTATATGTATACATACACACATAAAGGGCTTAGGCTTGAGGGTTTAGGGTTTAGATGGTTTATGGTTTAGATGGTTTGGGGTTTAGGGTAGATAGTAGGGAATACTGTATAATAACAGATTCCCTTATTCCCTACTAACCCCCAGTAAGTCTAGTTGATGGACTCAAGCTTCCTGCTACCAAACTTGTCCGACTTCAAGATCATATTGCCCTTGTGGCTGTTCCTAAAAACCCAGGCCTTTGCTATGTCACTCAAAGCTTTTCGATCCATATGCTATGGAACAAGGTGGTTGATCCATACCCGCCGGATCGCGCTATGTCGATATTTATGACAGTATGGAATGAGGGGGCATGGAACGAGGAAGCACTCGTGGAACGGATGTTCACGCGCAAATTGCTCCACACCAAGCATGCTATTGTTATTGTTACAATTAATGTTGTTGTTATTCTTACAGTGAACTATTATTGCTATTATTGTTACTATTATTACGATTGTTGTTATTATTATTACTATTGTTAAAGATCTTTTCTTGCTCCGACATCCCGTAACTCTGCCCACCCACTTTAGTCGGACATCTATAGCTCCACTCTGGCGAAGTCAAAGCATGCTGGGAAGACGCCAACGCTATCCGACAGCTCCTCCGTTGCAGCACCTTGCCATCTCTTTTGGGATTCTAGTATGCATTTTCAGAACCCGGGACTTCACGAGGGTCAAGGAGCAAAGAGCCATGCAGCACAAGCCCTGATCACAACGGAATCCGACGGATGATCAGTGGACATTAACGGAACCTTGGCCCGCTGATGGCAGTAGTACTTACTTTGGCTGGTAGAAACAGAAATTCAGATGCTTCCTCTCACGCAGAACCGCAGAAAACATGCCTCAAGTACACCCTTCAGCACCTCAACAAATCATAGAAGCCCCAAAGATGAGCATCCTTTCTCGCCGGCAACCCAGGTACTCCAGCTCATTTTCAACGTTCTTCAGTGTGCGCGGAAGCTTTGCAAAATGCTGCTCAACACCAGTGCATTGAAGTGGTATTTTGTGACCTCTGCCTGCCCCTCCTACTTCCCGCATAGCAAATGTTGCGACTATGTGGTACCACTACACGTTAGTAGATTTTCTTTGTTGGGCAGGTGTGGGGGTTCTAGTATTGGGGGGGGGGAAGGTGAGTAAACCCCATGCAAACTCCTGGGTTGCTGTTAAGGAACTTTAATTAAGTTACTATATTGGGGAAACCCTACTATTTACTATATACACCCATTATGGTAACTTAATTTAAGTTCCTTAACAGCAACCCAGACTCTCAACCCAGCGGGAAGGCGCGCTCTGGCTCTGAAGGTTGTCCGAGTCCGGGGGAGGAAGGCGATGCTAGACTTGAAGTGGACCAGGGGTTTAGGTTAGGTGGGCCCCCACCCGTAATCGCGACTATAAGGGGTAATAAGGATATATTGGGGTCCTCTTATACTCACATTTTACCACCATTACACGGGGGGTCCTCCTAAGGTTTGGGGCTTTTGATTTGAAGTGTCTATGTTCTACGGGCAATGGCTCATGGTCAGTTTGCAGCACCATCTGAGCCGCGTGACCATCAGCTCTACACCCTCAATCTGAACTGTACACCGTCTGAGTTCCTGTAGTGTGTTGCCATGCGTCGTCGTCGCTTCGCAAGCGACTTGATCTCAAAACACCCGTAAAAACATCGACAAGCGTCTATATGTCGCAACTACCAGTGTTGCAGCACAGCATCCCATACCCCTTGCCACTCAACACCAACAGGCTGGAGCGGCCTAAAATCTTGGCAAGAGGGAGGATTGCCAGGAAGTTCAGTGCGAATATCGCCTTTCCAAGAAAGCTGGGCCTTGTAGGGAGCTTGCAAGGTAGGGAAGGGCTGCGGCACGGTCTAGCTTACTAATTCTGTTCTTGCTTTACGGATTTATTGCCCTAGTACTGTGGCAACTACGACTAACATCTGTAT